GTGTTACTGAAAGCTGCAAAAGGAGGGACCTCTGGGGGCTGAGACCTCTCCAGAGCCAGAAGCATCTGGCACGGTGAGGGGGCAGCGTGATGGGAGGTGTTCCTCCTGCAGATCCTCCTCCCTCGGATAAACTCTGAACCAGCTCCACGACTCCCAGCAAACTTCAGACAGACACACGGCAGCCCGCTGGGAAAGGGGTGTGTGTGTGTGTGTGTGTGAAAAGTTACTAAAATAGAAATGCTCCACCAGGCTCCTAGAGCTGTGCCCACCCTCCGGCGGGTCCGGACCCCGCAGACCCAGTGCCCCCGGTGTGTGCCAGCTGTGATGGGGCACAAGGAGCGACGCAGCATCGCACGTGTCTGCCCAGGGAGGGAGGAATTCACTAACCCACGCTCCGGGGGTGGCGGGGGGGGAAAGTAATGAATGCAAATTCCTAGTTAGGTAAACAGATCTAGAGCAAGCTCGCTCTGGCACGGGGAACTAATATCCTGTTAAACCAGTTGAAAAGGTCACCAGCAATCAAGCGGCACTCCCTGGTGCCAGCGCTGACAGGGCACCAAGGCAGAGGGTGTCAAGCAGGGAGCTGGGGGGTCTGGGCAGCATCAACGTGCCAGAGTGTGAGCCGTGGCCAGCTGGGCACGCACGGCAGGGATCCCTCTGGCCACACAACACCTCTGCAGGAAAACAAACTGCCCTGGGCTCCAGGAAAGGAAGTGCAGGGACAGGACAAGGGGGAACGGTTTGAAATTGGAAGAGGGGAGATTGAGATGAGATACCAGAAAGAAATTCTTTGCTGTGAGGGTGGTGAGACACTGGAGCAGGTTGCCCAGAGAAGCTGTGGCTGCCCCATCCCTGGAGGGGTTCAAGGCCAGGCTGGATGGGGCTTGGAGGAACCTGGGCTGGTGGGAGGTGTCCCTGCCCAGGGCAGGGGAGTTGGAACTGGATGATCTTTAAGGTCCCTTCCAACTCTAACCATTCTATGGTTCTAAAGCTGCTTCGCTGCCTTCACAGGGCCCTGTGGAGCCCTTCCTTGCCCCGTGTCGCTGCTGCCAGTGGCACAGACATCCCAGGATAAGCCCTGCACAAAGACATGCTGGGGCTGAAAGCCTCCAGGTGATGCTCCAACAGCAAGAAAAGGAAAAGAGAGAATGAAGTAGCGCAGGATACACCTCTCATCCCACGATTGCATTTCATTTTCAATGGATAACCTAAAGCACAGAGGAGCTGCTGGGGACTCAGGGCTCTGTGGGGACAGCAATGGGTCTCTGGCTGCAGAGGTGTGAGGAAAAAGTGAGAGCTGCCAGGAAAGAGGGGCAATAGCAAGGGGGAGAGCCAGGCAGAGACAGCCTTGGGTCAAAACATACTGAGAATGAGGCGCAGAACACACGTGGAGGTCTGCAACCCAGGGGCCCAGGTCCTCCTCTGGGATGCAGCACGTCTGGGATGCTTTCCCTTCCTTCCCACCAGGGAAACTCAGCTTCTCTCCAGGGAGACCCAGGAACAGAAAGGCCAGGGCTGTGCACCCTTCCCTGAGGCCCACAGCGAGCGGGACTTGAGGAGAGGAGCTGAGCAGGAGCCTCTGTCCCTCTCAGCATGCTCCAGCTTCTGCAAGTGGTTCTTTGGGATTACCTCCAAAATTAGTGCCCTAAGTGAACCCACACAGTCAGGATCTGGTCTGCTCTGGCAGAGAATGGAGCCAAGCAACTTCAGAGTCCAAAACCATCGAGTTTGGTTTTTCTAAAAAAATCTTTTGCAAAGAAAGTGCTTTTTCAAATAGCCTTGTTTGGTGAGATAGCCGTGCACCTTGCACGGAGAAGCTGTGCAGTCTGGTGAGACTCCAGCTGTGTTTGTTTAAATCCACGTGCAGAACTTTACCCCGTGCTCAAAACAGTGTTTTCTGGTGCCCAGCCCCAAAATGAGCCTCGCTGTCGAGTCTGTTTCTCATGTGAAACGAGCCGCTTGCACAGCACGTTCCCCACAAGTGCTCGTGGGTCTAGGCCAGAACACCCCAAATGGAGCTGGGTACACATGGATTCTCTTTTAAAAGGCAGAAAAACCTAGTTTCCTTCCTGTTTGGCAGCAGGAATGGGAAGCAGCAGGTTGTGATGAGCCTGAGGGGCGCAGGGAGGAGAGGGGCCGTGGTGGGGTGTCCTCAGTAGGGCAGCAGAGCTGGAAACCCAGCAGTGGCCATGGCCACCCCACGCCTGCACCACACAGAGGGTGCTCACGGCAGCACAGCGTCCTTCAGTGGGGTCTGGGGAGATCTGGCGTGGCCTGATGAAGAAGGTTTTACCCCTCATCCACAATCACCCCACTGAGGAATCCTGTCAATGTCGCAAATATCCAGCGACTGAAGCCCTGACCCCCCGGTATCTCCTGCCCAAGCCCTGGAGGGGACAGCCAGCCCAGCTCCCTGGTGCTACAGGCACCCACGTGTTTGCACGGGGAGCTCCAGCCTGGGCAGTGCCAGGCACTGGTGCAGGATCAAGCCCCCAGGAGAACCCACCGACCGCAAAGCCCCCGGGGCTTACCCAGCAGAGCCTGGAAGAGTTCACTTTGAAAGATGTGCGAGACTTTTCCAATGGAGGCTTTCAGCTCCTGCTCCTCCGGGGACTGCAGGGTGCTCTGGTATCTGCTTAGAATTTCCACCGCCCGTTCAGTGTCTGCAGGGACAACACAGGAGGCATTAACACCGAGGGATGGAGAGACATCTTCAGGGAAGGCTGGAGAGCAGTCTTGGAGCAGCGCAAAGGGATCACCTGGATAATGCTTCAAGTTTCCTTCCAGCTCTGGATTTTTAAAGAGTCAGCCAGCCACAAAAGTACACCTGGAAGAACGAACCCTGCCATGAGGTGCAGAGGGGCCACAGAAGAGAGCCAGGCAGGAGCTGGGGGGGAAGTGGTTCTGCCTGTTGGCCCTCCTCAACCTTGAAAATCAGGGGCTAAACCCAGGTTGACTCGCTGCCAAACCCCACGGCAGCCCAAGAACCTCTGCCACCTCCCAGGCCGTGATGCCATCCAGGAGCTGGCCATGTCCCAGTTGCACGGGGCTGTGAGTACCAGTGCAGGAGCTGCAGTCTCCCATGCGGGGCAGCTGCTGGAGCCCCACTCGTGTAGTGTGGGATATCGCAGACAGCTCAGCTACACCAGTGGCAAAATGTAGGTTTCTACAGGGTGAAGCGTAGGAATTGCTCCCCGCAGCAAGCAGGAGACACGGGGGGAAAGGAACACGATGCCCTGGGGTGAGGGAAGGAGGGCTGCCCACCAGGGGAGGGCTGGAGGCCCTCAGGAAGCAAGGATTTGGTTAAAGAGTGGGCTCACCACAGCTGGGAGACAACCTTGGACCTGGAGCAGTGGAGCTGTGATCTCTCTGTGCTTCTCCGGGCAGACACCCGGACCTGCCAGTCCAGCCCCAGCCCCAGATGGGACCCATCTCCTGGGCGGGTGGGGAGTGCCCGTGGACCTTGAGCCTGTCCCAGCCCTACCGTTGAGTATTCCCCTTTGTCACCCAGATGGCCTGCAGACAAAGAGCGTCTGTGTGAGGAGGGTGAGGGAGCCGTCCCACCGCTGGTGGGGACGCATCTTTTAACCCAGGAACTCATGCAGAAAGGATGACCCTGCTCATCCCAGGGCTCTCGGCAGGGAATTCAGGTCATCGAACAAGGGGTCCTGTGTCTGCCGGGGTGTGTGCCATCTGCTGTCCCAGCCACACAGCCACCTCCCCTCCCAGCTCTTCCCCAGCCCAAAGGGGAAGGGGGTCCTGCCTGTCGCTGCCCCACACTGACTCATCCTGGGAGCAGAACGGAGAAAGGAGCCTGGGGAAGCACAAGTAGCTCCTGCTTCAGAGCTGGGCTCCACACCGGCTCCAGAAAAAAACCCAGGGACATCCCCACGCTCCAGATTTATTGGGCTTTACGGGAATCCCAGCCTTGCGTTGTCACTCAGGGCTTCCTTTTCTGCAAGATCAGACGGCGGCTCCAGACACTGCCCAGCAGGGTTGAGTCATCTTCGCCTGGTCATTCCTGACCTCACCAGCAGAAGGTAAAGAGAAGCAGGTGGAGAACTGGGGCCACCACGCCAGGAGACACAGAGAGTGTGAACCTGGTGAGAACATCCCACCCCAGCCCCAGCTGCCCAGAAAGAGCCGACGGGCCACCAGCACCAGGCCATGGGGGTACTCTGGCCCTGGACCACCAAATGTAGGGAAGTGCTGTGCCCTCAGCACGGGGTAGAGACCACAGTGACCTTCCTACAGCACCCAAAAAGGAGTGTGTGATGCCCAGGGCCCGTACCGAGGTCCGAGTCTCACTCATAAGAGGTCCTTCCTCCCAGGGCCAAGACCCCCACGCCTGCCCTCCCCACAGCACCCAAGGGTGCTACGAGCTCCGAGCCACGGCGGCACCGGGAGGTGTCCCACAGCCCGGGGAGAGCGGGCAACCGGGACTCCCGGGTCTCAACCCCGGGGTCGGGGGGTGGGAGGGGGACGCCCCGGGCCGTGGCGGGGGGAAAGGAGGCGGGGGAGGAGCGCGGGGCAGCGGGCGCGATGGCGGTGCCGGTACCGGCGGGGCAGACACTTGTTGAGCGCGGCGGGGCGGGCAGGACGGGGCAGGACGGGGCGCTCCTTACCTTCCCGGCGGATCATCGCTCCGC